TGTGAAAGACCATTTTCCATATTCCGATAAAATTTTACATGGAAACAATATCTTATTTTACCTAAACATGTCCAGAACGTGGAAAACCTCCTTTCAACCTAAAAAATCTCTATATTCTACGTATTTTGGAGCGCAAAGAACAATGCTAAGCATCAATATCAAAGGGGATTATACAAGTTTATTGAAGAATATTCATCATTTTCAAGATTCAAGTCAAGAAGTTGGATTTCTCCACTTCCTCCATTATTTCTTCTTTCTGAGTGATTTTTTTCAATATTTCTTGTATAATTTAATCATCATTAGAATGCAATGCTAGTTTTTCTATTTTATGGATGAATGATGAACCCTATTATATAATTGTTTTGATTTAAAATTATTAGTTATTTTTTGATTGATTTTGTCTACTCATTGTATTATTTAATTGATTGACCACTAATTGAATAATTAGTTGCTTGGTGTAGTGTTGGAAGACTCATAATAAATTTAGAATGTGGCAAAATTATCATATGTAGATAGATTAGGAATAATCTTTATCACATATGCAATCACATAAATAATGTGTAATTTAATGTATTTTGGTTTTATGAATTCAGTCTAAGAATAAGATCGGGTCATAATTAGAATAGACTTAATTCATCTTGGAAAAGATAATTAAATACACTAGTATTATCGATTGTCACGAAAGCATAAAATTGACAATATTACAAATCAAGAATTAAAATAAATGATAATAGGAAGATTCAAATCCAATACAATCATTTACATATGACATAACATTTTTTATTGTTTCCTTAGTTTGAATAATAACAAAATCATGTCTTTTGTATCACAAACATCGAATTTAGTAATAATTAGTAAACTGAAATTAAACATTATTTTTTGTGGAACGATAACTCATAACTTATTTTATTGTTACTTGTCAACGATCACGTACATTCGTAGGTTTCACACGAACAGAATCTTAACTTTATCATGTCACACAAAGCAATGGCTCATGATAAGTTGAAAAAATTATGAGGGTGTTTGACACCCATTTTTAAATAAATGAATATTAGAATAGTAGATTGATGGAAAATATGCTCATAAATATTTTTTTTTATTTACATGTAATATTATT